AGAGAATGTAGTTGATCAGGCTGCATTCACTCCTTGGTATCACTAAGAACAGTTCCCGAATTAACCGAGACACTAGTATTATTTTTGTTTGGTTCGGCGTTATGTTCCTATTCCTAGTGCAAGCAAGGGTGTTTTATTTACTTGTTTTGTTCAGAGTTATGTTAGTCCCTCTTTTTGGTTTATAGTTGCATATCCATGTGTGGTAGATATGCTAGTTCACTATAAACAAAGCTCTGATACCAACCTGTCACACCCCCGAACCAGACGGCGGAAACGTCCGGGGGCTGTTGTGACTCATTGAATACCATCACAATGCATATACATGAAACATAACATTATACATCACCAACATTTGGAATGATACAACTGGTAACGTTACATTCATTACATTGTTCAAACATTACATTCTCAAAAAAAATAACTGTTTGATACTACTTAAACCACAGCAAAACGTCATAGAGTACAAATCATCCTTCACCTTATCTGTTACCTGAGAATACAAGTATTTTGAAAACGTCAACATATGAAATGTTGGTGAGTTCATAAGTAGTGTTTGAAATCCAATGTATTGTTTGAAACCATCAGAAAATCCGATATTTTCTAAAAATAGAATAGTGTAAAAATATGTGATGATCCATGAGTATGCTTGTTTGAATTCTATAGATGTAAGCGTAAGAGTTGTGAAATTCGACCGGTAATTCATAATTGTAATTGTTGAAAACCCTAGGAAAACCCGACGTTTTCCTATCACTTTGCTTTACTTAGTTTGTATACCGTTGTTTCGTTGCGTTAGAGGAAACCGTTGAGCTCCGGAGGCATTGAGAATACAGTGGGTGGTGAAGTGTTGTGACGTGCGTTAATGAAAACGTCCAATCGACAACCTTACAAGCGATCCCTTAGGCGTCACTCGTAATTCTTCACACCACTCAATCCTCCGGACTTGTGTAGTCCCACGACCGGAGGGAAGAAGAGAAGGTGCGAAACCCTCGGTATTTCCCCGCGTCGTTCAAGACCATTGCAATTGCGAAGGGCCCGAAGCCCAACCCGCAATCGTGAGTTACAGACTTTACTAGCAGCACTGAAGGACCTTGGGGACCAGCAGCATGTTTGCCATTGAAAGTCCTTTTACGTTATGTCGGATCGGTAAAACCCAACACTTCGTAAGAGAGAGGTCTTCGGGCCTTAAGATCAGGTCATTGGGCTAGCTAGGCTCAACAAACAAGATTTTACACTTTTGGGGCCCAAAGATGGTGCGTAGACGTCTGTGCACACTCGCATGTATAGTGACTTCCCAATCGTTATTAGTTATGAATCGTAATGTCGTAATGTCATAGTGTCGTCGTGTTAGTAGTTTCGGATTGTTATTGGTTCGAGACCGAACCAATTCGTTTGACAACGACTTTTGGTATTGTAATGTATTGTATTTCGTCGATAGGCGTGGTACCATCATTTGGTCAAATTGCATGTATCGAACTAGCCTTGAGAATTTTCTGTTTTCAGTCCCTCCTTATTTGTAAAATTTACCCTTTTCACCCCTTTATTTAAAAACTTTCCGGTTTGGTCCTTAAATCAATTTTCTTGACATTTTAACACCAAAAATTATTGAAATAAGTATTTTCCAGCATATTTTTCATAGAAAACAGCTTAAGTCCTTGAAATTGCAGTTTTCTCGGTTATAACCCCTCTTTTTCGCAATTTTTACATTTTTGGCCCAATTTGGAAATTTTTTGCAACTTTGGTCCTTTTTAAATTTGAAAAGCATTTTAAACCTTTGAAAAGTACATGGAACACTTATAGTCCACTGTTTTACAGAAAAATGCAGTTTTGGTCCTCCAAAATAGAAAATTTCGCTTATTGGGCCTCATTGGGCCGAAAATGTCATATTTAGCCCAATAAGCTTGGAATTTATGTTTTTAACCCTCCAAATAGTATATTTTCAGAAAATGCATTATGTAAACTGTTTTGACTCATCTCACCCATCAGATTTCGAAATATTTCATTTTAGACCCTTCAACTTTGTATTTTTAACATTTTATGTCAAAAAATGAATTTTTAGCCCAAAATAAGTGTTGTCAAGCCATTTGGCTATTTTTCTTAGTATACTTTGCATGTAATAGTATATTTTATGCTAGAATAAAATATATATCTCGGTTTTTAGTGTTTCATCACTAGATCTAGCATCAAAATCATACAAAACATACATATAAGCATAGAAATCAACCACAACATACACATAATGATGGATCTACACCTTTTCTTGTATTCTCCCCCACAAAAACTTATAAAAACCGAAAATAATGGGGTATGAAACTCACCTTAGGATGTAGTTTCGGTTTTTGAAGAGAATATGGAAGAACACTTGGTGATTTTTGGCCTTAGCACTCTTTCCTTGAAGATCTCGAGTTTGAGTGTTTCTAGGGTGTAAGATCATGATTTTTGCATGGATTAGGAAAAGATTTTGATAACAAAAAGAATCTAATTCATAGATCCAAGCATAATCTTACCTTAAATGAAGAATTTGTGGAAATTCCTTCTTGAATGCTTCCTAATTTTCGAGATTTTGAGGGGAGAGGAAGGGATGTTCTTGAGAGAGCTTGAGAGATTTTTGTGAGTGTGTGTGTGTGAGGGTTACTCTCGGCCGAAACAAGAAGGGGGAGGGAGAGAGAGAAGAAAAGACCTTGAGGTGATGTTTGCATGGAAGAATGAGAATGCATGGATTTTTGAAGGGTAATGCTTAGATATCCTCCATACAAAGATGATGTGTCATGCAAGAAGTCAACTCCACCCTTTTATTTGGACTTGGGCCGAGAATGGTGGGGGAAAAGAGAATGTTTGGGCCTTAAATGCTTAAGCCCAATTTTCATGGTTAAGTTGAGTGATTTTTGGTCCAAATAAATATAAACGTGATTTTTATGACTTGTTAGGGTTATGGTTCATAGTCATTAATTTATTTCATTCTAGGCCCAATATGGCCCAAAATGTTGAAATAAATAGATGTGGGTCCAATTAGAGTCCATTTAAGGGTTCTAAACCCATGATAGTCAAATTGGAAGCTTATTGGTCCATAGAGTCCAATAAGGAAGTCCTAGTCCAAAATGGACCTAATCAAGAACTTCTAGGGTTTCCAATTGCTTGATGTAGTGAATTGGGGTTTAGTTTTCCATTGAGTAAGCATCATACATGCTCTTGAGTTTTTGAATTCAACATTTACTTGAGTATAGTGATTACAAGACACAAAATTTCTAGTTGTGACATCATCAGCTATCGAACCCTGTACAATTAAAGCATTCATAAGAGGGTTAACAACAGATTTCTTCATCCTTAATTCATCAAGCTTTTTCAGCAGCACAGCTTCTTCATCATTTCCTCATCCTTTTCTGCCATCTTTTTGAGGACACAATCTTTTGCATAGTGGTTCTTTCCTCCACAATAATAGCAGCTCACTCCCGAATCTCCTTCAGCCTTCGGTTCCTTCTTTGACTCTTCAGCCTTCGGTTCATCTTTGACTTTTTCAGAGCTATAACTCCCTTGCCAGTTTCGGTTCCTGTTAGTGGGGAATCTCTTCTTGATGAATCTCTTGGGGTTTGACACCATCATAGCATAGTCCTCAGACGTGAGATCATAATCATCCAAGTTGAGATCTTCGTCCTCTATCACCGCTTTGCTTTTCGACAGGAGGGCCAATGAACCTAGACTTGAAACCGCGTTTTTCTCCTGTAATACGATCTTTTCTTGAGATTTTAGGATGCCCACCAGTTTTGCCAAAGAATAGGATTTGAATTGCTCGTGCGCTTTAACTGTGGACACAACTGCTCTCCACTCAGATCTGAGTCCGTTCAAAAATGTAACCTTCTATTCAATAAGCTTCCTTTCGATGTCATGTTTGATCATCTTGCTAAGAAGATGATTGAAGCGATAGAACGTTTGAGTCACCGTTTCTTCTGCTCCTTGCTTGAACTCACCAAACTCAGACAAGAGTAAGGTTTGAATGGAGTGTTCAAGATCTTCGTCTATAGAGTACAGTTCACGTAGCCTGTCCCATATTTCTTTTGCAGTCGTGCATGAACTTACCAGCCTAAAAGTATTGGATTGAAGAGCAAATATGATCAATCTTAACGCTTTGATATTGCACTGAAATTTAACTTTTTCGTCTTGCGCTACATCTTTAGCATCTTTCAGAAGATCGTTATACTCCTTTTGAGTTTTAATAATCCTTGAAGTTGCTGAATGAGAAAAAGGTCCAGAGATGATTGCTTCCCAGATGAGGTATCCATTATCCTCAGATCCCATGACATAATCTTCAAAGTGATTCGCCCAGACTTCATAATCATGGGTGTACAGGATGGGAATCTTCGTTGTTGATCCAATGCTGTTTGAAATATTGATGGGATTGGATTGCGACTCGTCCATAATTGATCGAATAACCTGTTCAAAGATCAGACTTGTAATATATCAAATTAGGGCAAAAACAATAAATATCGAGATACGTCAATTATGAGATGACGGCTCAATAAATATCAATGAATGTGGAATAACCCTAATCGAAGCTTTTTCACAGAAAAGAAGTGTATCGATTACACAGCCTCTGCTCTGATACCAATTGATAAGTTTAAAATAAACTTGAAGATCGATTAGATCTATGAAAAAGGTAGAGAAATAACCAGATAAACAATAAGAACAAGCAAATGGATCAAAAGGTGTCGAATGATTAATAAACAATCCTCAGGAGAGCTCGATAAAGAACATCAACTGTAGAGGATTTTAGGGTTTACAGTAATCAATGAGAATGACGACAACACTACTATATACGCATACATGCATGCATATATTTATATTAAAACACTAACAGTTTATCTAAGAAAAAGGAGGCTAATCTAGATAAACATGGATTGACAAGCCCAATCCGGTTGTAAAACAAAAGGGCCCAAGACGCAACACATTAATCTTCAACAAGTTTCAATTCTGCTATTAGGCATGCTAGAAGGAGACCTATAATCACTATGCTGGAGGAGATTAGGTTATTTGTGATGGAAAGGATATACACTCAGAGAGTTGAAGGAATGGAATGGGATTTGCTTATATGCCCAACTATTAGGAAGCGTATAGAAGAGCTGAAGGTTAAACACAGGTAAGTTTTTTTTTACTTTAATATGCTTATGTTAATTATGCGGATGTGTTATTGATTTATATTTTTTGCTTTAAACAGATTGTGGGGAGTTACTCCTTGTGGTTATTAAAAGTATGAGGTTAGATTCACTGATGTTGCATATGGAGTGGATCTAATTGCAAAGAAGTGTGCCTGTAGAATATGGCAACTTACAGGGATACCATGCTTACATGGAGTGGCAGCAATCTCTTACTTAAATCATGATGCAGAGACATATGTGTCCCAATCATACACTACTGAGGCTTACCTAGAATGCTACAAATATAGCATTAATCCTCTCAATAGTAGTGATATGTGGCCAGATGTTCCATACCATAAGCCTTTGCCTCCCAAAAGAAGAAGATTACTTGGTAGGCCATCAGTGAAAAGGAAGAGGGATGCAATTGAACGAGAGTTAACTAGACCAAGTAGACAAACTGTCTCAAGAAGGGGAAGCATGATAAAGTGTGGTATTTGTAAGGAACCAGGTCACAACAGGAAAAAGTGTCCATCTAACCAGCAAAGCAATACATCAGGTGAATATTTTTAAAAACATTACATCATTTGAACAAAGAATTGACATTTTAATTGTTGTTTGCAGTACCAAGTTCATCCAGGGGCAGTGGAGCAGACCCAAGTTTATCCAGGGGCAATGAAAGACCACCACCTACAACCCAACCACCTCCTCCACCACCACCTGCAGCCCAACCACCACCACCTGCAGCCCAACCACCACCACCACCACCTGTAGCCCAACAACCTCCTCCACCACCACCTATAGTTAGTAGAAGTGGAAGGAGGGAATATTTTGAATGGATCATCAAACAAGCATTAAGGAGGCAGATACTTGGGGTTGGGAGCAATTCAGATAACCCTTCAGTTATTGATTAATTTAGTGGGTGGGTAGGAATATCTTTTGTAAGGCAGTTGTGATGTAAAGACAAAGTAGCAGTATTTTTATTATGCTTTTCTAAGGTACTATCAAGTAAGTGTATGGGCACATGGTGACCCTTCTTTTGTCTATGCAGGAATCTTTTGTGTTACCTAGAAACTACTTTTGTGTATGCAGACAAAAACTTATTTAATTTCGAATATTAATGGAGTATTTCAATGAATCCAACCACCACATTCACTTACTTTTTTATTATATGTATTCATTGTTAAATCATATATGTATGATTCCATTCCAGTCAAAACTAATTCTTTATATGTATGCTACTTTGTGATTTTATTCCAGTCAAAATCATATATGTATTCATTGTTATATGTATGCTTCTTTATGATTCCATTCCAGTCAAAAATACTTCTTTGTGATTCCATTCCAGTCAAAGTTACTTCATTCCATTCTAACAAGAAGTTGAGATAATGGCTCCATTCTTTGTGATTCCATTCCAATGAAAGTTAATATGTATGCAGTTAATATGTATGCTTCTATATAATTACATTCCAGTCAAAATTACTTCTTTGTGATCCCATTCCAGTCAAAGTTACTTCATTCCATTCCAACAAGAAGTTGAGATAATGGCTCCATTCTTTGTGATTCCATTCCAATGAAAGTTAATATGTGTGCAGTTAATATGTATGCTTCTTTATAATTACATTCCAGCCAAAATTACGTCTTTGTGATTCCATTACAATCAATGTTACTTTATTCCATTCCAATAAGAAGTTAAGATAACAACTCTATTCTATTCAAACAACATCTTTCAATACATCATTTGACTTCATTTCATGATATACACGATGATCAAAAAAAGAAATCCAATGGTAAACTTATATATTTTCTCTTTCATTGCAATGGCATCAGAGTACTTTTCCTTCTTCATTTGTTCCATGTCTTCCTTCACCTTCTCTACTTCGGTCTTCAATGCTACTAATTCAGCTTTCATTCCCTCCACCACTTCCATTAGAGGCATCTGTACAGGTTCTACATCCAACCATTTCCAATATTTGCATTTACCCTTCTACAATAAAATTTCAAAGTGAGATTTCAAATCTGGAATAGATGAATCAGAAAAGAGGGAAAATTTAAGTGAAATTGCTTACCTCATTGCACACCATGAAATGCCTCCCTGGATTCTTTGGTGTTGTTGATGTTAGAATACGTGCAGGGAACCCACAATCACAAGTTTTTGGATCATTCACTGTGGATTTCTTGCTTGATCGATTGAGGGAGGATGAGAAGCTGTAGGAGGAAGCCATCGGGTATTAGGGCAACGAGGTATTAGGGCACAATAAAGGAACAACAAACGCCCCTCCTTTAATAACAAGAACCCTACATGCCACGTAGATCAAACTGACACGTAGGATCAATAAATCTATTGAAACCGGCTAAACCCGGTCATAAGGGGGAAATTAGCACAATTCAACAAGTTTAGGGGTTAATAGAGCACGAAAAAAAAGTTCAGTGACCAAATGTGATCAAATTCAAAAGTATGTTACCCTCTCAAGTCATTATCCCTTTTAGAAAAATGGTGTAAATGACCAAAAAAAAAAAAGTTTGATGGTATAAATAATAAGAAAAATAGATATAATTATCAAAGTCAAGTAATCAAATTTGGTGTAGTTCAAGTAGTGTGGTTGGGGTAAAATAGATTAATTATTTAAGAATGAAAACAATCTTTGGAAAATTCAGCCCCCATATCATTAACGTGATCAAGATACGTTTTGTAAAAACTAGCATTATATTTTGTACACAAATTAAAATAACTTTTATCATTATATTATCATTGTCTCATTGAGACAATTTTACTTAATTTGTTTATTTACTAATGTTATTTGGCTAATGTTTTAGGGTGTTAGTATGGAGACAAATAAATTCCATAATAATGATTTAATCACACCTACAGAGCCCACTGGTCTCCTAATCAAACTCTGGTTAGATCCCACCCATTCACCTGCATACTTATAACTGATTTAAGATACTCAATAATATATTGATATATTTTTTTAATTTAATTATTTTTAAATTATAATTAAATAGATATAAAACTAGTCCACCACCATATGGGTCATGTACCTCTGTCATGCACTCATGCTCACACATCTGTTGATTACATCATATGTCTTGTTGATGAGAGGATTGAAATTCAATATTGAGTGGGATCTAGTGATAAAGGAGTGTCGCATGTTTTTTTTTCCAACCCCATTGGAGCTTCTGTATGGAGTGGTAGAGAGGGGTTGGTAAGCAACGGGATATAATTTAATTACTATTTATTAAAGAGAAAATTACAAATTTAGTTATTTTTTTTTTAATTATTTTGTAGCAAATAGTAAAAAAAAACTCAATATTACAAAAATAATCATCAAAATCGCAAATGGATTAAAGCCATATGCGATTTTGGCATTTGATCTTGAGGTACAAACGCTTAAAGGATGGACGTGCAGTGTTAGATTGTACATTCGTAGTTGTTTTTTCTTTCTTTATTTATTTATTTTATTTTCTTATTTTTTCGATTTTTTCAGGAATAAATACTCACACCCTTTACCCACGTTTGCGGATAAAGTGAGTTATTTGCAATTTATTGTGCCTTCATCTACGATTTTACGTTGATTTTGTTTTTATTTTTTTTATTTATTTTTTTAATTTTGACTATAAAAATAATAAGTTTGACTGCCATAGCTTTCTTTGAAAGACATTAGAGAGTTTACCCAAAGAAAAATCAACAAAAATAAAGGTTCCAAAAAAAAATTAAGAGTTTTTATTCTGAAAAAAGGCAAATCGCGGGTGGTCGAAAATGGACATTGTCCATCTGCGAACGTACAAATCATAATGCAAATATACGTTTTAAATGTTTGTACCTATACCACATATCAAATGCTAAAATCGCAGATGACTCTAATATATCAGTGATTTTGACCGTTATTTTTGCAATGCTAAGTTTTTTTTGATTATTTTCTACAAAGAAAAATTGTTTAATTTATAGTTTGCTCTTTATTAAAAATTTAAAGTAACAACTTTTGTTATTCCATCACTAATATTCTCTTGTTATTTTTATCCATAACATCTTAGTCTAAGATAAAATAAATGTTGGATGTGAGGCTCAATTGTGCATGATGAACAATCATGTCGACACGATTCTTCAATCAGTTCATGGGGACGAGTGGTCAAGCGATGCTATGGGACCCTATCACCGGTTTGGTGTCACTGGAATAAATTTAGTTAATTTTTATGGGTACTCCTATACGCACGAATCCTTCGTATATAAAGGTTTGACAAGATAAAATTAATTTGTCCTTCAACTTTTCAAAGATTTTTCAAAATACACCCTTAATGTTTTATAGTATTTACTTTAAATTTTATTATTTTTTGTTATATGGTTAAGAAAGTTTTATTTAATTTTATAACTCTTTTCTGTTTGTTTTCTATCAACCATCCGCCGTATAAATATATCATATTAGAAAACTTTTTTTTTTGTTTTCTAGACCATTTAATATATATTAGTCAATAATTTTTTTTTATGTTTTATAACTCTAACTTTTTCCCAATTAATTATATTGTATTATATTATATTATTAATTTTAATTTTGAATATATTATTTTTTACTATTGGTTATATCTATTAAATATTTAATGACATTTTATTCAAGAAATATATATTCTAATAACAAAGTCGTGAGTTTCGTGTAACAGGTAGAGGCAATACCATCGACGTATTCATTTCAAGAAACAGGTATTTACCATATTTCATCATCCAACTCATATTTCATCTACCCATGTTTTACTCAACATATTATGTAGATATAAATACATATACATTTTAAATCATATAAAACTTGTATAAAATCGTTCATCCAGCATAGATAACAAATATACAGATAATATGCATACATAGCACGTAGTTTATATAAAATACTTCATATCTATGTGTAAGATGAAAGGGACCACGCACTCACTTGAAAAGGTGGTGATTCGGCACTCGGACAACACTTCGTTACTCTTAACACAATTTTCCTTTAACAAAACCTAGTATCATTACCATTAGAGTTTAGTCTAATATTCACCAAGACTAATTAATAGTCTTGTTATTATTACTATTATATAAGCACGAAACAATATTTCTCAACCACTATATACAAACATGGGTCAGACATAAAACACCAGAGGGCAGGACCATTTTGGCATATAGCACTTCTGAAATCCAACAACCCTATGCGGTCCTTTAAACCAGATTCCCCGTACCGCGAGTGGTTAAAAGATATTATAACGACACTTATATAACTCATAATAATAGCCTAAATACTTATTATAATGTCCTAATAACATTACTATATTAAAACATAAGATATACTAACAATAGGGTAGGCATAACTCACTTACAACGTGTTTTTCGCAAAACCGGGCTTCGATGGAGCAACGTTCCTGAGCCGAAAAGCTCTTCTTCTCGGAGCCCTCTGGCGCTCCGGGACTCGCCTCTAGCACTTGGAAGTTGCTAGGGATTAGGGAGGAGAGTTTTGGAGTATTGAGAGAGAAAGAAGAGTGAAGGTGTGAGTTTTGGGAGTGATTTACGCTTCTATTTATAGGCTGAGTTCAGTGCGAACGCAGCGCGTTCGCGAACGCGGTGTGTTCCTTATACGAACGCAGCGCGTTCATTGTCACGTGTCGTCATCTTATTCCAAACCGTGGGGAAGAAGGTGTGACCCAGATTGTGCCACGTGTCACTTGCAGATTACCTCACAAACTAATTATCTTCTAAAATACATAAATTTTGCATACGAGCTTTATTTTTGACGTTCTTTATATCCACGCGTAGGCGGGACTGTACTATACAACTTTCGTTTAGACTCTATCGGCTAATTTTGAAAATTTTTAAAGTTATATTTTTAACAAGCCAGCACATGAATAGTCCGTTAAAAATTCATAACTTATTCATCCGACGTCCGTTTTCGAC